GGTGTATAATGGCGTGCGCGAGATCCTTCCTTTCATCAGATATATCTCCCAATACATCGACGCCGAGTTCAACATGATCAAGGACAACGACAGAGGGAAGGGTGTCGTGTGTGCCGCAACCTGGTGCGTGATCTCAGCCTATCCGATGTTTCAGGACTCACCAAAGTAAGTGTTTCCTTCTATAGGATCATGCCAGCCGCACTTGTCCCTCGACCATGGGATTTCCCTACCCCACCCCCGGGCGCACCAGGGGCCCCGAACCCCGCTCCTGGCACACCTGGGGACAACGATGAAGATGGTGAGGGACCAGCCGCGTCGCAACCACCCCAGACCATGATGCCACTTCCTCTACCTGGTCATCCGCCATTGCCCATAGGATTCATGCAGTTACAGAGTGCACCTCCTATAGACGATACGCCACTCGAAGTTGTTGGTACCCCGGACGACAATGTTCCTGATGTTAAAGTCACACCGCCAACCCCACCCGCCGCATCGACTCTTCGAGGAGTTCCTGAGGGGCTTGTGACCGAACGTCCCCTGCAAACAGCTGCAGTCGTCATTCCCTCAGTGGCATGAACATTACTATGGTTTTCTTTTCTTAGTTCTATCGGACAATAGTTTTGGGATCTTTCATACCCTTCATCAGCATAACTTATACTTCCTCATAACGACACCTCATGACTTTCACGACGCCACCGATCTGGAATTTCTTGCGAAACCTTCTTCTCTTTTATGCACTTGGAATTGTTCCATTGGTATTTGGTTTTTCCGTTCCTCGATTTGCGAGTTCAATTCAATTATGTAAGGTGTATCTTGGAAAGCAGTTCCTTTGCGATGACCACACGCTATGAGCAGTTGCGAATCCTTCAATTGATTTCCATGGTACAGCAATTCAATAACTTCTAGCCTCCTGTATCGCTTTACTGAGTAGTGACAATACCGTCGGGTTCTGCATTGGAGCTTTCAGGATCCGAAACAGGAGGAGAGGGTGATGAGAACTCACCGATGATGTCAATGGGGCTGTTGCTTCCCAACGAAGCCTGTAGTGTCTGGAAGTAGGCCTCCGGGATGCTTGCAGAGAATCCCTACGCACGATCGCTTGCAATCAGCTTCAGAAACGAGGGGGTTGGTCGTGAAGCGTACCTTTACAACGGAATCGTATGTGTTGTGGATGGCTCCCCCTAGGCCACGACGAAGATTGAGCAATAGTTAAAGAGAATGCATGAGGGAACTCACCGTTGCTTCCAATGTCCTGAGCGTACTTCTGAATATCAGCCTCAGTGGCGGAATCCTTGAACATGACGATGTATTCTGTCCCAGATTGATAAGATTGTGCATCTTTGCGAATGAAGGCAATGGTACGTACTGCCGGACATTGTGATTGAGAGTAGTTGCGAAAGATCTGGAGGAGTGGTTGCGGTTGTGGTATAAAAGCAAGTTGGGACTGCTGCGGTAAGCTGTGTGGAGCTAATTCGGTGCGGATCTGTGGTGACGATTCTCGGCGTCTGCAGTCCGAGCTGCGTATGCTGTGTACAGTCATACAACCTAGTGCGCTCTAGAGCAAGGGGTGTCAGATCCACCGACGTGTGAAGGTCAAGCGCAATGCCGATAGCGGAACATGGACAGTGTTAACCAGAGCCTCGTATTCTCACGAAAACGCATGTATTCCACGCATTATCAGTTTCAATTGCAAAATATGATTCTTCTGCCAGGTTCAAAAGGGTAGAGCTGGACTGGGATTAAGCCCCAGTTGTCATTATGTCAAGGAATTGCCAGGTGGATGAGGTGGTAAAAGGGAGAAAGGAACAAACTTGGAGGACAGTGTTCCCCGAGCCTCATGTCATTCCATATACTTATGGGGGTAGGGGGAGGACCTACCCCTACCCGACCACGTCCGCGATCGGTGGATCTGAAACCCCTTGCTCTAGAGCATGCTCTGGGTTAATCGTCGTAACATCATGTGCAGTGAATAACCACCGCGAACTTGAAGACGGTGGGCGGGTGTTTCCCAATCCGGATCTGCCCATGTGCGCGTTTGATGCGCCAAGCGCGAGGCGGGATCGCCTACGTCCATCCCGACTTCGGGTGTTCTAGGATGACTCAAACTGCCATTTCTGTTTGGGGTGTGAAGTGGAACAAACTCCAATATTTCGGTGCCGATTTCCAACCACACGTCCAGGTCCAGGGCGTTGTGTTGACGCCGTTGAATGTTCGCTGTCCTTTCCTCCTAAGATACACCCAGGACATAGTAGGGTACATCACATGATATTCACATGACTTTTACATAAGCTCCAAGGACACCTCCCAAACTTGTTCTCAGCAATAAAATGCACTCCCTCGTACCGTAGCTGTTCTCACTGCTGCAGATAAACATCGTTATATGCCGCGCACATTTTGGAGTTTAATCTCCCCATAAACAGAAGACCTGCACGTAGGACAATGGTTTATTGGCTGTTTGAGGGACTAGAAGCCCCGATTCTCCCCCTCAAGTGATATTCACCTTCCAAAATCTCTCGGGAGATTCAAGTCATATCTAACTGAGGCCGTACAACCAAGTTGCGGAGACCTCTAGATGTTGTGGCCACTACACTGAAGGCTTTTGGGTTCTACCGTTACAGTCACAGGCGTTACAGGTGTTACTTTTCGTAACAGAATTTCTACATTGAGGACAAGTCACGTGAATCTCACATGATTTCCGTCACAGTAACGTAGTACCCTACTATGTCCTGGGTGTATCTTATGTCCTGGGTGTATCTTACTTCCACTATAAACCGCTATTTTCCAGGTCGTTCAAGTTCACGTCCAGAATGCCTGCAACGCGTTCATCGACCCGCGCCTCTGTTATGGCCATACACAATCTCATCGAAGCACCTCCGTCACCGACACAAGAGCAGCCTGCTACGCCAGTGGGTGGCCGCAAGGGGAAGCGCAAAGCCAGCCCATCTAGTTCCCCTCGTAATTCGTCTACTCGGAAGAAGGCGAACACATCCCGAGGCGCAGACAACAATGCTACTGTAAAGTCGGAAATGAACCTGGCAAGACCAGGGGACGTTGCAGTGGTGCTACCTCCGGTGGTCACTGAAGAGGGCCGCTCGCTCGTGCCCGCAAAGCTCTCCTTCTCGTTCGAGGAGGCACGGGCACATCTCATACGCGCCGACCCTCGATTTGAGGACGTATTCGAACGATTGAGGTGCAAGCCGTTCGAGCATTTAGAGCAATTCGACCCGTTCAGGTAGGTTTCTGGCCGTGTACCCTGCCGTCGACAGGCTTATATCAACTTTCCCCCATCCAGCACTCTGGCAAGTTCAATACTGTATATTGACTATCTTCATTAACGTGCACGGCTACTTACGAGGCTATTCCGCAGAGGCCAGCAGATTTCATGGAAAGCCGCGAGGTCAATAAAGCACAGATTCATCAGGCTATTCAATCCCTCTCTCCCCGAGAAACCGGACGACTACAAGTAATTTTCCATCCGTGGAAGAGTGTAATTACTGACTCGTTCCTTCGTAGCATGGTGGACTATTTTCCAACAGCCCAAGACGTCGTGAAGATGGACATGGCTTCCTTGAGAACCGCTGGACTAAGCCAGAGGAAAGCCGAATACGGTGTGACACACCTCAATCCGTTCTCTTCTTCTCAACTGATGTCTACCTCCCGCAGTCCTCGACCTTGCGGCAAGGTTTGCGGACGGGAGGTTAAGCACAGAAAAACTGCTTCAAGCCAACGACGAGGAGCTTTATGAGATGCTGATTGCCGTCCGTGGAGTCGGAAAGGTATGTGAACTTAGTCAGAACAAAGCGGCTCTGTCACTCACCAATGATGGCGGTACAGTGGACAGGTAAGTCAAACGGCCGACTCTTCATCCGACGATTTAGGTCCTTAACAATCACACAGTGGATATGTTCGCTATCTTCTCCCTCCGTCGCCCCGACATTCTACCTGTTGGTGAGTCAGCAGCAGTGTCATTAAGGGAGACGTTTCATTTTATTGCAGGCGACTTGGGTGTACAACGAGGCGTCGTCCGCTGGTTTCTCGCACTTCATTCACCCGACTACAATGTTACCATCTCTCCGGACAAACTTCCCAGTAATCCAGAGAACAGCCAGACTCCCGCGCAGACACCAACTGCGAGCACATCGTCTCAGGCGCAGACTCCATTGCAAGATCCCGACGCCCTTCCTTCTCTGGGCGGTTATAATGAAGACTCATCTATTCCTCCTGTCCCTGCGGAGACCGAAGACATTTCGAAAGAAGAGACTACCGAGCCGAGCGCACTGCCCGTGCCATTCACGCCTTCGATCAACAAAACGCTGAACATGAAAATAACCAAGTCAGGCCAGCCGGTTGAGCCGCCTGCGCCGTTGCCTGTGGGCATGACCATCCCGATGCTCAGGGGTCGATTGGATCCTAAGAAGAAAGTGAAGTGAGGGTCGCCATTCAGGTTCTTCGATACAGCAACCTGACGATGACACTCTTCAAGGGGCGCATTTCTGACTCCGAAGGAAATGGAAGAATTGACGAATCCTTGGAGACCATACCGTAGCTTAGGTATGTTGTTGTCACTGTGACGAGTTGATTGGGAAGGTGATCTGACGACATTATTCAGGTGTTTACTATATGTGGGCTCTGGCGGATACCGAGAAGTAAGCCTCAACAACAAACAGCCACGCCATCAATTCCATTCGTGTAGTAATATTCGCATCACACTGTTATAATCTGCTCTACAGGCCATATTGCATCACTTATATTTTGGGTTCCCAACTGTACGGAGGGAAACTCGGAGAACTTGAAATAGCAGCACTTATCCGGTCCTGAAAACCAGACGTCTCCCACTCTGAGACATCATTGAGGCCACACGGTACATGCATCAATTAGACACTGAACCGCCATGCTCGATATGTCTCAACTTGCTTGAGGCAACTTGAATAATTGTAGCAGGGTAAACCATACATTCCGGACGATTTGGTTATATTGTTTTGCAGAGAAGCCCTTTCATCGGCCTGATGGTCTAGTAGTATGATTCCTGCTTCGGGTATTACCCCCTCGGATTCCGAGGAGCATGCAGGAGGTCCCGGGTTCAACTCCCGGTCAGGCCCATTTCTTTTGCTTTTTGGTCCTCTCCATTGCCCAATCTGGTGCAGTAAGTCAGAGTGGCATTACTGTACAGTGGAAAGGTTGAAGTGCGAGGGTTGCATGCATGGTTCTCAATCTAACGGACTTGGACGGCACAAAAGTAACACACTGTTTTCAAATAACCATATAACTATACACAACGAACTAATACTGGAAGACAAACGACGAGTGTTTATGCTCGTGCCTTCAGATCAGCATTATGAGACTGCTCCAGTGCAAAGACAGGATCATTGGGATAAATCTAACGAGTAAAACATTAGCCTGCGTTTGCGAGATACTATCGTTAGCTTCCTCACCGTGTACCCATCGTCTGGGGTCTGTCCGGTCGACAGTTGAGACCCTGCTTGCCTAGATTGATACATTCAGAGTGTGGATCGAGCGTAAACTTATGAGGGTACCGTACCAGATCAAATCGCCCGTCAGTCCAGAGCTGATCACGGCGGAGTACCACGACGCGTATGTGGAAGCTTGAGAGTCTGTTACACCGAATTCTTCCAGGATCACTGGCTTGTTTTGCTTCTTCATGGAGGCGGCATGATCGGTAATCCATTGAGCACCCCAAGTGGGCGGGTTAGCTTGACCCCATGAGCCCTATATAAATAAGTGATATTTAGAGAGAACCATAGTACGATGATCTCAGATTATGCATACCGGGTATAACTGTGAGTCAGATGAGCAATCCGTTGCTGCTTGAAAGCAAGAAGGATACTCACATGGAAAGTACCAAAGTCAAGCGTCTTGATAGCTAAGTTCGCGTCAAAATCAACACCTTCACCACCCTGGTAGGGATAACTAGGGTTTCCGGGTTGGTTGAAGAATCCTTCGTCACCAAGGGCGACGAGATGGTTCGAGTCAATCGACTTGATGAATGCAGACATCTCCGAAGCCCATTGGGTGATCGTCGCCGTCGTGCAGTTGCCGTTGTTCTGGCTGTTGCTGCCTTTGCAGCGGGGCTCGTTGGCAAGCTCCCATGCCATAATCGTGGGTTCATCCTTGTAGCGAGTAACGAAGGTCTGTACGTAGTTTTTGAATGCAGCCTTCACGTTTGCGTCGGTGTAGAAGAGGCCGTGCTCCGTCGAGCCCGCGATCTGTTTCACGTAAACGTCCATGCCACCGTAATCTGACCAGTTGTTAGTCCTACAACAAACCTGATCAGAGCGGCCCCATTGAGGTAAGTCTGGATGAAAGCTCACAGGGCGACAATGAGGCGAAGTCCATTCGCCTTTGCGGCAGCTACTACGTTGTCTGTAGGCCCAATGGTGAGACTATAGTTATTTGATGCAGGCAGAGTGCTGCCTACCAAAATTCTGCAAGCCGGAGGCACCCGTGTTGACAGTGGGTTTGCCATTTGCCCAACTTTGATAGAAGTTGCCGGCTGGAGTGGTGACCTCATTGAATCCCCTATAAACGATTGTCAGCCTAACGAACAACCAAGCGACGTTTCGTATGACATACCATGTCCTCACTGTAGTACCGCCAGCTTTTACAATATCGGCGAAGGCAGCGTTCATGTTCGCGACACTCAGTCCCATTAACCCGACCCAGTAGGAGTTACCTCTGCAATGTCATGAACGAAGCATAGACAGACACGTCAAACTTTGCAACATACCCAGCAACGGTGTAAGTCTTCCCATTGAGTTTGAAGCTTGTGCCATCCACTGTGACGAATCCAGTGGAAGCAGGGGCGGGCGGTGCTGCAGTGGCCGGCGCCGACGTGGCAGGTGGTGAATTTACTGTCGTCGGGGTTGGTGTGATGATTGGCGGAGCACTGGACGCGGTACCGGCGATGCACTGGGAATAGTAATCATTGAGTTTTGTGCAAATGGTACCAGACACGCAGGCTGCGTCGCCTGCCCAACCGATGCCGCCACACTGCGTAGGAGGTCAGCCCAAATTGGTAAAACGAACTAATACTGACGCACCTGTGCCCATTCTGGTTGCGCAGCGCGGACGTATGGTGCAGCGGCTACTGCCAATGTGAGCAAGCCAATGGAGAACATTGTATCGGTATTGGGGGTCAAAACAGATTTGTACCACGATGTCCATATTTAAAGTCTTGCTCGTCAATATGGAGAGTTACCAAGTCCCATGTCGATCGGCTTCAAAGCCCGGGTTTACCTCGCAAGCCATGGGCGGGTCACTGGGGTCAGTGAGCGAGCTTTAACCGAGACAGCGGCCGACTTCTGGTAACATCCGTTGGTCACAAAAGCACGAGGCCAATAGAGGGCACCAATACAAGCCTGAAAGGTGGCGAGACAGCACACGTGATGCGTCAATGATCCGTCAAGTGATCACGACCTCCTCCGCAAGAACACATATCACATCATCCTCTGGAGAGTGGAAGGCCGGATGATGTGGTGGTTGTCGGGCTTATAGCATGCGAGTCGGTCACGGTGGGGCAGACGTAGGAACACAAACGATTTCAACGTCTATTTTAGTCGATAGAACATCAATACCCAGCTGCTATTCCGTTCTTCCTGGAATCGCTAGCAGCTAATAAAAAGTGTGATCAGTTCAGTATACATGCAGAATGACTTAGAGTAGACGTACCGTATATGTCTTCTCCATCCTTCTTGACGAGCTGTATTACTGCCGCTATGCGACCAATGTCAAGAACTGTGGTGATGAGAAGATGAGAAGATGAGACGAGGGCATAGTGCAAACCCCTCACCTGTGATATTGTGTCCTCGACTCCTCAACCCTTCCAAAGCCTTCTCGGGATATACACTGTCAACATCGACATATGGGGGATATAGCTGGTCGTGCATCCGTCCATATTCAACGGCGGCACTAGCGTCCAGACCCCAGTCCAAGTTTGTGAGAACCTGGAAGATAGAGGGGAAGATGCGAGAGCCGCCAGAGCCACCAATAGCGATCTCAAAGTGGCCATCGGCGTCCTCGATGATAGTGGGTGCCGTTGAGGAAAGAGGTCGTTTGCCAGGTTCAGGGTAGTTGTCTAGAACATGGTATCAGGTATACGATGGAACAGCTGACTGCGCAGAACGACACGTACACGGTGAAGGCCACAGCCCAAATGAATTGGGTATACCAGGTGTCGAGAAATCATCCATCTAGTCGAAGAATTATCAACAAATGAACGTCTCATTACAGTAAAAAAAGACTATTACTTCATCGTTGAGGATAACCCCAGTCACAGGATCCATTACCTGAGATCCAAACACCAGGTTAACGGTGGATGTGATAGCTACGGCCATCCCGTTCTTATCAACTATAGACGTGTGGCTCTGACAAAAACATAAGCCAGCTGACGACAAAATGTTCGAGAAAGAACACACAGTACCATGGTCTTCTGGGACGTCGAAAATAGGCTGGTAATAGTCTGGAGTATGCGTGCGATCCTGGTAATTACTGTTAGCACTCAATACAAAGTACTCTCCCCGAAGACTCACGTCAGTGAGATTGGTAAAAATCTGGTCAGCGTATTCTTTAGTAGGTATTTTCTTGATGCTGGTGTAGTCTTGTATGAAGGCAGGGTCACACACTCGCGTGCTACACGGTCCTCTCAGAAGATGCTGAATCTCGTCGCAGACAGAAAACATACCGAGCAGCAAATCCAACTAAGGAATAAAATTACGACCTTCAGAAGTAGGTAAGAGAAAGTATCATGATGGACGCACATTTCATTATCTCTACAATACGGTGGACATTCAGATTGGTACGACCCTTTTCCACGAAATCGTCAAGATGCTCGGCTAAGTTGAGCATATGAAGGAGAACGGGTCCTGAGGTTGGGGCATGCGTTGTGTAGATCTTCCGGCCACGGTATGTCCCACGCAACGCCGGTTTGACGATGACTGTATATGATTTCAAATCATCGTGTGACAGAATGCCTCCTGTCGCCTTCACTTTCTGAACAATCGAGTCTGCGATTTCGCCCTTTGGGGGTCTCAATACCTGACAGTTTCTGGCAGGAAAGCATGACTTACCTTGTAGAATCCATCCGCGCCTTTGGACGCAATTACCGACAACGTTCGAGACAGATTCAGTCTGCGTATGATGTCGCCTTCCTTGAGCAATTGCCCTTGGGGTGCGAATATCGAGCTCCAGTCCGCCTTTCCAAGCATCATCGGGGCGAACATCTGGGAAATGCATCGGTAAACACATTACGTTCAAAGATGACCAACTCACCTGAATCCTTCTCGCCAATTCTGCAGGCACGGCCCAGCCTCGCGCGAGTTGGATACTGGGCTGCACTAAATCATTCCAAGGAAGTGAGCCCCAACGTTTGTGAGCTTCCTCCAAACCTCTCAGTTCCCCGGGAATTCCAACAGCAAGACCCCCAAACGCTGCGGAGAGTGGATCTTTCGCATACATGGTCTTATTAGAGAGTGCTGGAGCAGTCTCCCTGAAGTCAACGGTGAAGACTTCGGATGAGCCATTCACCGGAACGCGGACAGTCATGAAGCCTCCTCCGCCGATACCAGAGCTATAGCACAAGCCGTCAAAAGGTCGTCACAGCACACGACTTCCCGCGACGTACGAAAACATGTTGGCAACACCGATGCATAGCGTCGTGCTAACCGCTGCATCCACTGCATTCCCCCCAGCCTTTAAGGTCTCCACACCAATATCGGAGCATAGTTTGTTCTCACTTGCCACAGCACCGTGCTTTGCGTGGATGAGGTATGCGGGGTTTCTGGCAGCCGGAAGACCTTCCTGACGTGTCAAGTACGAGACGACATGTTTCCGGTAGACAATAATGGAAATGCAAAGTAGGGCAAGTGCGACGAGAAACCGACGAAGACCATGTTGTTTGGACCTGGAGGATTTAGCGGGAACCTCAAGTGCGTATAACGGGAGGCCCTCCTTCGAACGCTGCAGTAGGGGATCCCGAGCGTCGGTCATGGTGGACTCGCCGAGAGCAGAAAAGAATGAGATAGTAGCTGAGAGAGCAGCATTCCAGTAGCCTCAGCGTGGCCAAGGTGGGAGTGGTGTCTTTCAA